TGTGATTGTAATGTAAGATAACCCTTCCCTTCCAGTTCTGTCCTGTATTGCCTACTATGATAAGATCACTGTTTTGACTCGTTAAATTAACATTTGTTAAGTAGAGCCCCAGGGTGTCATAGGATGGGGATGTCATAAGATGGTGAGCCACTGTTCAACAAAAGACCTTGAGGGAAAGTGAAATAGAGAAGTTTATTACTCACAGGTCCTGGAGGAGGTGGGGCCATGTGGAGGGTACAGGCAGAGAGCTTCAGGACCTAGGGCACATGCCTTTATTAGGGTCTGTGAGTGGAGTGCTTTGGGGTTCCTAGGCTAAGTCCGGATTGGTCAATTTAAACCAAAGAGAGTGGGATTTTGGTAATTTTAAGAGGGTCTTATCTAAAGGGTACACAAAGGGAAGGCCCTGGGCAGTGAGGAAGAGTGCTTATCACAAGGGTGATATCAGAGGGAGTTATATCAGAAATTTTTATTTACTTGTGACTTCACAGGCTGTTACATAGGGCTGTTATTGAGGGAGGGGCTAGTGTAATATCTAAGCCCCTGCAGGCCACTTGGCCACACAAAATGGACCCCGAGGCAATAGTATGGAGTAGTTTGGCTAAACTCTCAAAAGTAACAGTATTTTAAATCTAGCGTTTCTCTGATCTCATTTTCTTCTCCTTGCATATAATACATGCTCAATAAATACTTAATCAGTAAAAAAAAAACCACAAAAAAAACCGTAATTTATTTTTGCTCCTTGTTATAATAGTGCTCCTGATCTCATTGTTTACTGTTTCTGTTAATTTGTCTTTGGGGCAGAAGGATGGAGGGTTGATATGTTAATTTAGGGTGCATTTACTGATCTTCAAAGTATTTGATGAACTAGGACAGTCAGTAGGTAGAATGGGGGTTGACAGTCAAAGGGGCAGTGCATCTAAAATTGCTTTTGGAAATACCAGCTGTGTTGTTGACTTGGTGTTTATGTAGGGAAAAGTTGAGGAGAGAAAGATGTTTTGATATGAATTAATTTTACCAGTCTATACTTGATCTCATCAGACTCGAGGGGTAAAGTGATCTTGATTACTAAACTTTAAGGGAAATAGTTGTTGAGCCTCTTTGGCTCTACATTTTTTATTCTTTTCATTTGAAAATGAAAGAGTCTGAGGTTTGAAGATTGTTGAGGTATAGACCCCTAGAAACAATCACCACATGGTTTTAACAGATAAGTTCATTTTCAGTGTGTTTGGGTTAGTTGGCAAAGAGAGAACATACTTTTGTCAAGTTCTACTTATCAAGGAGACAATTTGAAGTAGTTTCTTAGTCTTTGTATCTCTTTCTCCTATATATGAAGCATATCATGGGAATGCACATATTTCATTTAATTAAGTCATCAAATTAGAAGGAGCATTTTAATATACATTAAATTTTGAATAAGGATAAGAGATCCAATCAGATTACAAGGTAAAATTTTGATTAATCCATGTTACTTAGTGTGGTCCCCCATTTATTTAATCAGGACTCTTCAGACATGGTGACATCTTTACTGATTTTCTCAGTGCCAATTTCAGCATTAAAATCTATTACTGTGTAGCAAACTACAAAAAATTCTATTGCTTCTCAGTAATTAATTTATTCCCTTGTTTCAGTTGACTTGGTTACTTACATAACAAGGTTTCAGTGGGACATGGCTAAATATCCAATCAAGCAGTCCCTGAAAAATATTTCTGAAATAATTGCCAAGGTAAGATAAAAAATGACACAGGTAGGACACATTGATTTATAGTGGCTTTATTTTATTTTATAAGCATTTAGCTATGAAATACTCTAGATTTTGGCAAGGCAGCTTAATTATGTCATTGAAATAACAGGAGGTACCCTTATTTCAACTTTACTAAAAAAAAAACCCGAAAAACCAAAAACAAACGATGTTAAAAAGTATAACACTTCCATGTGTAGATTATTCAAGTTGTGTAGTTATTTATGTAGTTAACTTAAATATTGCTTCAACAATGTTGACATAAGAAAAGAAACCTTAAAATTCTGTAATTATTATTTATACAAAGTTTCAGGGTAACTGAGATCATGTAGAATAGGAAATTAGGGTGTATTAAAGATTTATGAGTCACATAGATGACAGTGGTCACTTAAGTGTGTTTATGTACAATACTGATTCAGACATTAAACTTGATGCGTTCTTTGATACCTTCTGATGTTGATCCTGTACATAGAAAACTGCCTGTATTCGTGTGCCACATGATTTTATGTACAGTTTTAAGGAGTACTATACCCTGAAGCCCATCCATGAACTTGCTGAGTTGAAAGCTCCTTTTATATTGCAAAATCCTGGAGCATGAGAGAAAATGTAAAAGTCTTACCTGAAATTATAATGATGCAAATAGACAGACACCTATTAATTGTTTGTCAACGTTTTTATGACCTGGCTAGGGTGAAAAAGTGTGCTTTAAATTACTTGGACAGACTTTCCTTGGCTCCCAGTGACTTTATTTGTACAGTGTGCTCTATAATTAAATGTAACTGAATAGACTATCAAGGATTTTAACTCAAGTTATCATATAATTTAATGAAAATGAGTAGTTTGATAATATAAATTGGTGCTCTTATTATGACTGAGCCTTATTTTCTTTTGATCCTTACCAATGATTTAGTTGTCTTCTTCCTGATACTGTTACAGACGAGGAAACAGGCTCAGAGAGGTGAAGTGACTTATCCCAGTGACATAGCTGATAATGGTAGAGCTGAGTTGAAACTAGTTTTTCAGATGTTAAATCAGTATCAGGAATGGCCATGGCCANCTGAAATTATAAAAATCCATTATGATTTACATTTTTTAAAGAACGTTTAAATTTATCAAGTTCTTTATAAAGTTTATTATCTGATTTTATTATCAAGACAACTTTGTAAAATAGTTATCTTCTATCTGAGTAGACTCCAAGTTTCAGGACTGGTTAAACAAGCAGTGGTAGTAGAAAGCTTATAGTACAATATTTAGTTTGTTCTAATGAAGGCATATTAAAGTGGAAATAATGATACTGTTGTATTTTCATTTTATGAGTTAATTTTGGGTTTGTGTGCTTTACATACTTAGATTCTGAATAAATTTGGCTCTGGAAATTTTCTGAATAAGTTTTCTTTGTGTGTGTTGGCGGGGAGGGAGAGAGAGAGGGAGGCATAGAAGGGGGTTAGTTATGTCTTAATGGAAGTCTTTGGAAAAGGCGAGCCACAGCCTCTTTCTCATTTAGCTCCATTAGTGTTGTATTCCCCCTTCTCCAAAAGGTCATATTTTTAAATACTACAAGGCTGATTGGCAAGATTTTTATTTTATTTTTTTTGCAAATTTGTAAATGTTTGATGGTAGCTAAGTATGTATATGTGAGGGATTTGAGGAAATTCCCTTAGGTTGAATATGGATTAAAATTAACCACCAATTTGGCTAATCTTGTAAGATTTCCTAAGCCGGATATCGCCAGTTTATTTAGTGGCTAATGTTCAAATGCATTGAGTCAATTAATTCTTTCTCAAAGGTAAAAGTTATGCATTTTTTTAATTTCTTAATTTGGTTTATGTTTTTTGGTTTATGTTTAAAGTTTAAGACAAACCTATAAATTAGTGACTCTGACTTTTGTGGAATGAAACTATTAGTATTTTGGGTGTCTAGCTTCTTGAATAATTCCCATTTTAGGATGCTTTGTAATTTTTTTAAAAAAAGTAGGTACCTCATGTATTAGATCTTTATCATCTCTTTTTCATAGTATCATAAATAAATCACCTTTTACCACTTAATATGGATTTGCTTCCAGGTAAGTAAATTTGACTTTGCTTGGGGTCATATGTCAGTGTTAGATTAATTTTGAAACAGGTTATACTTATCAGTTATCCTGTGATTCTGAAATACTTTAGAAACAAATAATATTAAATTATTTTTTTGTTTTATTTTATATTTCAGAGTCTCTTGATTTTGGAATAAATACCTGGTGACAAATATGACTGAGTTCTGGCTTATATCGGCTCCTGGGGAGAAAACATGTCAGCAGACATGGGAGAAATTGCACGCGGCAACTACAAAGAACAATAATCTTGCCATTACTTCCAAGTTCAACATTCCTGATTTAAAGGTAAAATTGCCCTGTGCAAAACAGTGTATGAGTTCATTGCGAAAGGGAGGACAGTTGTGTCTCTGCTTACCTTTTGGTAGAAATTAGATACCTGGGTTCCTTCTCTAGCCATTGGCATAATTTAAAACCTGTCTTGTTCTGTCCAATTTTCAGATTTTAGATACTGAGGAAATTGATTTTTTAGAAGTAAACTGCCAAAACAAAATATTTTTTCTAAACTTTGGTGCTTTTCTAAATTGTAATTTAATTGCAGTGAGAAATCTTATGAAAAGATATATTATAGTCACAATTATGACTTTAAGTGAAAAATCCTAGTAATAGATATTCCTAAATATCACAGTGAATTCATTTTTCTGTTATTAAATTTACATAATGCTCACTAATGTAAATGTTTTACCATTGTACCTTTTTATCATAGTTGGCAAATCTAACCTAATTATTTAATCTAGTTAATTTATTTAACATTTATTAAAGATCAGTAACCTAGGAGCCTCAAAGTGAAGCAGACTGCCAGGAAAAAGGAAAAAAATCATAATATTTATATTTTGTTGGTTAACTAAGTGAGGCAGTTATACACAGCACTCATTTATGTAAGAAATACTTTAAATTACTAGTTCTTAATATTTTGGGAGTTATGAATTCCTTTGAGAGACTGATATGGACTGTGGACATGTCTTCCCAAACATGCTCACTTACACACATACAATTTTGCTTTAGAGATTTGATTACAGACTCTCTGATGCATAGTCACGGACCCCTGCTTAAGAGCTGCTTCTGTAAACCATGGCTTCAAATGATTCACCGTCACTGGACAGCACAGGCCTGCCATCGCAGGGTCTTCCATCTTAAATGCTGGTTGTACCCATGAATTAGAGGATTATCTTGTGCATATAAATAGCTTTGACATGTCTGGCAAACATGCTTTAACCACGCTTGCACATTATGAAATAAAAATTGGACAGCTTAAGATTTATGGGCCCTTCAAATCAAGATGTTTTATCATCTTGTAAAAAACAAAAAAAGAAAAAGATAAAACCTAAGTAATACAATGCTATATTTCCCTTCCAGGTTGGCACACTAGATGTCTTGGTTGGTTTGTCGGATGAACTGGCTAAACTGGATGCATTTGTAGAAGGGTAATGTATTTATATGCACAGACTAGGTCAAAATTATCAGGCTACCTGAGCATTAGCTTTATTGTCACATGTATATTCTGCATATTGGAATGGTTTTAGGAAGTGATGATTCTTTTTTCTTTGTAATCAACTTTATGAAGATACAATTTAAATACAATAAAATACACCTGTTTGAAGTGTGAAACTATAATTTTTATTGAGATATAATTTATATGCCGTGCAATTCACCTAATTAAAATGTACAAATCAGTGATTTTTAGTATATTCACAGAGTTGTGCAGCCATTGCCACAAACAATCTTAGTATATTTTCATTACCCCTACCCACCATAAACATCCTGTTCCTATTAGCTGTCACTCCCTGCCCCCGACTGCTCACTAATCTAGTTTCTGACACTATAGAATTGCTTATTTTGGACATTTGGTTGGAATCATGCAATATATGGTCTCTTGTGACTTGCTTCTTTTCCTTAACATGTGTTCAAGGTTTGGCCATGTTGTAGCATGTATCAATACTTAATTGCTTTTTATTACCAAATAATATTCCATTGTGTAGATATACTACATTTTATTAATCCATTCATCAGTTGATGGACATTTAGGCTATTTCCACTTTTTGGCTAATACGAATAAAGCTACTTTGAATTATTTCTGTATAAGTTTTTGTATGCTCATATGTTTTCGTTTCTCTTGGGTATGTACCCAGGAGTGGATTGCTGGGTCATAAGGTAACACTGTTTTTAGCATTTTGAAGAACTGCAAGGCTGTTTTCCAAAGTGGCTGCACCATTTTATAATTCCATTAGCAGTGTATAAAAGTTCTAATTTCTCCACATTCTTGGCCAAATTTGTTCCTATCTATCTTTTTTATTATAGCCATCCTACTGGATATGTAGTATTTTATTGTTTTTTTGTTATTTTCCTGATGGTTAATGATGTGTTGAGCATCTTTTAATGTGTTTATTGGCTATTTGTGTTTCTTCTTCAGAGAAACATCTATTTTGAATCCTTTGCCTATTTTTAAATTTTCCTTTTTTATTGAGTTGCAATAATTCTTCATATATTCTAGATACTTATCTGATGACTTGTAAATAATTTCTTCCCATTCTGTGGCTTGTCTTCACTTTCTTGACATGTCCTTTGCAGCACGAGTTTTTAATTTTGGTATCCAATTTATTTATTTATTTATTT